TCAAACATATAGTACTTCACCAGCCCAATGGTGATTGTCACTATCAAAAACAGTAATTAAACCAATGGATAAGATGCAAAACATGATAAAATAACTCTCAGAAAGTCTGGATTTTCCCAACCAGAATTTTCCCAACGGAGGTTTTACCAAAATCCTGGTGAATCCCTTTCGACATGCAATGGATTCTCCAAATGATGGATTGCTCATAGGGAAATACACATCACTTTAACTTAGTGGTTTGTGGTCTCTACTGGGGTATGTGGGTTTTCACCAAGCCCAGGAAAGAAATGCCAACTCAAAATCAACAGGTGTAAGGCTACCCACTCCATCCAGCAATTTTGGTCTTCCAAGTTGTGACCTATAAAAATTGGGGCCCTGAAAGTTATTATGAGTGACCAATCGACTACCCACCAGAGTGATAATTCGCAAAGGTCGTCCAGAGGTGAAATGAGTTGTCGGGATTCTCTGGGTAAAGTACTTGGGGGTGCAGTTAAGTTGTTTTAGTGGCATAAGTATGGGTTTCTAACCCCCAAAAGTTGGGATATACATCACCCCCTATAATTATGGTTATCTACCAATTTGCCCTCTGGTTGTTCAACATAGCTATGAAAAGTAGCGTATTTACAGACGATATACATGATGATTTACCTAGCTATAACATCAAGATTATCCACTTCGCAAACCGTTATAGCAAATGGTGTACCCTCTGGAACACTAAAATAACGCTGGAACATAATACACTTTTAATAAGTAAATCAACCATAAATGGGCCATTTTCAATACCTATGTTAGTTTACCATAGGGTATACACGGTATACATTCAATGTTCCCCCGTTCAAAACGTTCCGCGCCGCTTCGCCGCGCCTCCCCCTCGACGCCCTCCTTTTCACATTCGCCGATGGCCGCCTCCAGAAGACCCACCTCGGGAGGACTCAGTGGATCAGATCAGTAGTGTGAAATTCAAAAGATATCAAAAGATCATATGGGTATGGATCAATACCTATTAATACCATTCTTAGTGGGATGAACATCCATTTACCAGCTATTTTGATGTTCACCAGGGGTACAAGGTTTTGACACACTGCCATATAACATCATACTATTGTGGACTATAATATCATATAATATATTATAATATTATATACTGTAGTATTTCTTTTGCTGGTGGCCCATGTGGGTTTGTCTGAAAACAAAGAAACCCCATTCGATCCACCGGTTGATCGTCATTTTCCCTTCCAGGAGTTGACACTTGGACGGTATACCCGATTTTCAGACACCGCCATTTGTTGATGTTTAAAATTAGCATTTGGATCAGTTGGAGAATTTGATGATACAGTATCTCCATGAAACAATTCATCCACTATTTATTGGATTTCACCAGGAAAACATCTCCAACCATCATGGAAAAACATATCCAATATGACATATGAAACGGATCGAAGGATGCTTCAATTGAGACATCGCTGAGGAGGGGTCATATAAACGTTAGCAGCTTCATCAAATCATTACAGCGTGATCCTCCCACTAAAATTGGCAATCGGAACACTTTCTTTACCAAAGGGATGGTGTTCTTCTCATTCTTATCTTGATCCAACTCTCGGAATGGATGATCAATGGCCATTGATCTGGTAAACCCAATGCTGCCGACATCCATTAACCTGCACTCAGGAAAGTTGCAGAAACCATCCTCCACTGATGGTGAAAATTTGGATGGGATTTGATGGGTATCATTGGGAACTGCTGATTACATGTTGACATGTTGACATGTTGAGTTTAATTTGCGAGTACCCCAAACTCGGGTGCAAGACCCATCTTTTTGTCTTTAGCCGTAGCCAAGGAAGACACAATTTCCCCTCTGAAAAAACACTGAGTTCCGTGGCATTGCCCGATTCCAGAGCAACCTGGGCCGGTGAGGCTGCCAAGTTGGGATGGTTATATTTTCTTTGGGTCACATTTGGGAGTTCGAAGAGCCATGACAAGCGAAGATATGGATAAAATACATATGATAATATCATATTAATATCATATCATATAAATATAATATATATATATATAATTATATATATATTTATATATGGGATTATCGTGTATGACAATTGAATCATTGCATAAAGGACAATTCTATCAACTTCAAAATTCCAACTCAGTTAATCTGTTCGGGACCCTGGATATTGAAACCGGTCTTCCTTCTCGCTGGAAACCGTGCTTTAGTGATGGGCCCCAAAGAAACTTAATTACTGGTTACTAGAAATGCGTCTCAGTTCGTTCAATTCCCAATATTCCTCAGAAACCCTGAGGTCGTATCATGATCGCTTATTCATCCTCACAAGTTGCTACTACTAGTAATGGAATTGAACACCGTTCCAGTGGTTACCCTGCTGCAACCCAACTGTAACATGCGAACGTTGACGTTCATTTATTTTGGAACCCTACTTCACCCTGCCCAAAAAACAAGGATCTAAAAGTAGAACATTAATTTCAGAGAGAAAAACTGGTTCCTACTAAAACAATGATGGTCCTAAACCCCTGAAAAGTCCTAAGGGGAAAGCATGGATCCCCTACTTTCATGGTCAGACTGACCCTGCTCTAGCACCAGACAGCACTCAGCCGGACCCAGCCTTCAGCAGCGCAATGCTTTGTTTCTTGCGCGCGATGGCGGCGAGTTTCCTCATCCAATTTTTGGATGCTAGTTGACCTAGTCATCTCCAAAAAGGACTAAAAAAGATCAACACCAAATTAGTAGTAGAGATTTATATACTGGTGATAATGGGATAACTACACTAATTGGGATAACTTTGGTGATGATGCTTTTTGGGATAACTTTACACTGCTCCCCACAAAACAAAGAGGGAACAACATGGAACAAGCCAACGATTCGTTGAGGTCAGTCAGATGACTGGCAGCATCTGGCAGCCAGGTTTTCACAGTCAAAATTCCGTTGGGATTTTGAGGTCACTCTGAGTTCGCAGCTGTTGAGCCAGTTGCAACCTCAGCCACAAGAACGGCTTCATGGTGAAATCAACCTGGTTAGGGACACTCGAAAATTGGATGGTTGCTCAGTTGCTTCCAAAAAAGTCAATTTTTGTGTTTTTATTTTTGTAGCACAAATTACCAAACTCTGCTGGTTGCCATGGAGTAAAAGCCATGGTTTTGCTGATTTCTCCAGTGAAACAGCCTTTGAAGATTTCTTCCAATGTTCAAGGGACAATTCCCATGGTTATCTGGAATCTGGAAGTCCTTCAATGCAATCATCTCGTTGCCAAAGTGGTCTAACAATAAATGGGCAGGAAACCTATAGCCCATAATCTTGACGCCAAAAACTAGGGTTTCCAGAGTTTCCGCTGAAGATTTCCCATAAACGAATCCATTGAATGTCATATCTGCTGGCTACGTGCTGAATTTCGATGGTAAATCTCTCTGGCAAGCAAAGCCCACATCGTGCCCGGGGTACATCTCGGCACCACCAGGGTGTTGTTCCACGTGGGCTTCTTCTGCCTGGAAAAAGTCTGTTGTGGTACCAATCCACTTCCAAAAGCATATGGACGGTGTACTTCCAAATGGGGGTACCCCAATAGCTGGATGATTTGCAATGGAAAATCTTAATTAAAATGGATGATTTCGGGGTAGCCCCATTTCAGGAAACCTCAAGATTGTCAGAGAAATATTCACATTCTAAAATAATGACTTGGATTTGCTTAAGGAGTCCGGAAAAAAAAAACTAGTAGATTCCCCAGCCATGGTGGATTAACCAATATGGGAAAATGAAGAAACCATAAGAAGACATCTTCAGCAAATCCAGGATGACTAGCTAAGCACCACTCGCTGGATCCTTGGCGTTTCAGAGTATATCCCCATGAATCTAGTGGCGATTCGACACAGCACATGATGGGTTGCCCTTCTGTAATCTAAGATAATCTAACAATATCTAACATACAGTAGATGATGCAGAAAACCACTGAAAATCCACCAGTTGCAGATCATTTTCCTAGGTAAATGATGAATTTTCCATGGACAATTCCACATCCATGTTACCCTAGGGATCCCTAGGGTCACTAAAAAATAGAACACCCCACACCTGCGCTAGCGCTCGTTGTAAGCGCAGAGCCTAGCTCGAGGGCTCGGCCACGTTCTCTTGGGACATCCACCATTTTCAGGCACAATCATACCGGTGAACCCATTACGGGAATCCAGCATATCGATGTATACATAAAACATATATTTTGGCGTTGGGATACCAACCTGACAAAATGTGTGTCCTGAAATCACTAATGAGAAGTTGGGAATGTTCCAACCCTCCCACCTACTCCAAAGCATGGTCTAGAAATGCATGCCAAACCCGCAAACACTGTTTTTGCATGGTACTGGAACACCTATGATGTCCTCAGATGTCCTTAGCCAATAAGAAATCCGTTGGGCCCCAAGTGTCGTGATATGCCACGGAGTCAGCTGCACATGCTGTGCCAAGCGTCATTTGTACGCCCAAGTGGCGGTTCAAGAGCGAGAGAGAGTCTCTGACGGATGACACAATAACGTGCAATGTCAATATATTGGGTGCTACTTTCCTATTTGGGGGTTTCTTAAAATAGAAGATCCCCAAGTCATTATGGGTTTAAATACTAAAATGGGTCTAATGACATGGATGATTTGGGGTACGGGTACCCCCATGGATTGGAAACCTTCATTTCTCTTCCTTCTTGAAAGCTCTTATTTGCAGGAACATCTCAGGCATCAGAAACTCATGGGCTCAAAGTTGGGACCAGGATCCACCAATTTTGAGACACCCAGCCAGACATTGCTGACGGATTCCTGCAACAACTTGCAGTGAATCAATCTTTGTACAACTGCCGTTCCAACACTGAAGCTTCTGACCGGCCCCAAACAGCCACGTGTGCCAAAAACGAACAGATGCAGAGCAACTGATCCATCAAACTCTGTCCAAACCGATCAGTTTCGGCTGAAAGCCTGGTTCATAGCTGCCGTGGGAAATGGGACACCGGAACCTATGCCAGGACCTTGTATGGATTCAGAATCCCCTTGGGATCCATGGTCGCTTTCATGGTCCTTGGGGGATGGGCTTCGCAGAAAGGGACACAGGTCCTATCCCTCTTCTCATTAGGCACCCAGAAATGAACCAATCTCCACTAGTCCATACTAGTCCATGGTTTTTGGGGTGTTTTTTTGGGGGATGGACTGTGATTCTAGTGGATAAAGATGGGATTTCAGCATGAGCTGTTGACCGGCAAAAACTGGACTATATTGGATATGGGGATGAGGCAAAACTAAACGTCCGGAAACAAGTGTATAGTATAGCTGAGAATCCCAACCTGTATAATGCATTATGCTCTGGTAAACTAACATAACTATATGATTATATGGAAAATGGAAAACCACCTTTTTTATGGGTAATAATTGCAATGTTCAATAGCCATGTTAGTTTACCAGAGGATACCAGAGGATAAGGTTCTGAACGGTTTTGATTCATGCGCATTGACTACTGGATATCCTTTTGTTGGCTAGTGGATATCCTTACCAGCTAGGAATCCCTGAATAATCGTGAAAAATAAGAACTAACTGATGTCCATCAGATCGCCTGGATCAAAGAGTGCCAATATTGCCAGTACAGCAAACTTTGCTTTGGAGTGGCATGTTCCCCAGCCAACTTCATTTCCTGACACAAAATTCTGGAAGCCTGTCTTTTGATTGCACATGACGAATGCATAGCCGAGCATCTTCATTAGGTTCATGGCGCTCTCTGCCTTGCTCAGATGCAAATAGTGAGGTTTGCACTGGCCTATGCCATGCTCAGCGCTGATGCCTCGAAGGGAAGCCCCCTTGAAGTCAGGTGACACTTCGCAAATGGTTTTCAGAATGAAACATCCAAGTACCCCTACTTCCCAGGTATACAGTTTACAGGTTCCAAAAAGGATCCTTAAGAGTCCAACAGTATCTCCCACATGTTCCCCTCAATCATTTATCTGCAATGGATTGCAATGGCTTGGAGCAAGCCTGATTAAGCCATGTTTGGTGGCTAAACCCCCAGTACATGTTTTCAAACCATTTCAAACCCCGTTGAAATATGGCTATGGCGGATCTCCAGACCCATTCCCTCAACCAGCTCTGGCCACCAAGTCTCTTCCTTTTGCTTTGGAGACCCATTCGAAGATCCAAGGTTCGAGTAAGTCCAACACCTGAAACTTTGCCCCAAAGAATGCGATAAAATGACTTAGTGGTGCTTAGTAGGGAATGAGGGAATGCGATGGTTGTTAACGGATTTAACAGTTATGTTTGGATTGGATCTTCCCCCATTCCATACTAAGCACCAGTAAGATGAGATGGTTTAGTCATGTTTAGCCTAAAAAACATATGAGGACCAAAAAACATACTTAAATATACTCAAAATGGAAAAAAAAACAAATGGTGAGGTTTAAGACTTTGACGCCCTCATCCCTGTAATCTTAGCAAAATGCTCCGCGCATGTCCCACGTCTGCTTGACTTGGCAGGCGCTCCCAAGCAGAAACACCCCTATTGCATCCCACTTTCATCTTAGCACAATGTCATAAACAATATGGATTGATATATATATACAATTGTATATATACATTACATGGTTTATTAATACCATGAACATATGGTGATGGTAGATCCTAACCATAAATCACCATTTTCAACTGGATTGATGGCCTTGTCGTCCCGTCCGGACAGGGAGGTGACGTTCAGGTGGAGGTTGGCATCGCCTAACACAACGGATCCCGGGCTTGCAGTTCATAGCATTTCGCATTTCGAATCTGTTGGCATTTGATTGCACAAGTGGGAAAAGAAACCCCTGCATTCACAAAGGTTATGAGCCCAATATTGGTTATCATCCCTCTCAGGAAATCAGCGCCCTGACCATCTCTGATGGACATGTGTCTTGTACTGTGCCTGCCACGCGATATGCATCTTTCCAGACCCTCTTCAAATGTCCCATTCCTGCCAATCCTGCCATCGTTTTGCTACAAAATCCTCACGTTTTGCTCACTGTGGGAGGGTGCAGAATCCCTTGCGCCTACCACACAAAATGGCGCTTCAAAGTCCAAAAGTGGTGCGAACATGTGGTGCTTTTAGCATTCTGTCGTCGAAATGTGCTTCGCGCCGCACACTTTTTGAACATCTCAACTTCCAAAAGTGCTCCGAGGCTGAAGTGTTTTGCACCTTTTGACTTCGAAATGTGCTTTGCGCCACAACGGCGTGCAATTTTAAATCTCTCATCTGGCCACCCGCACCCGCCGCTTTAGCAAGCCTACTGTTCAACCCTCTGGAAACACAGTGAATCGCGACTTTTCTACCTTTTCACCTGCATCTTCTTTCTTCTGACTCTTTCTCTTCTCTGATCTTCTCTGACTCTTCCCACCTCTGCTTTTCCATCTGTCGGAAGTTTGACTTCTAAACTTCCTTCCATTATGGATTGATATGGATTGTTGTAACGTGTGTTAAGCCTCATTTCTTGAGGGCTGTCCTGGATTGTGAAACCTTACAAATCCAGGGCTCCTCGGCGTAAATCGGGAAAAAACATGCTTGTGAAACCACCACGTAGATGAACATCTAAGGAAAAACTGTGCAATGACCGATATCACGGGATCATTTCATGAAAGATGGCAATATAAATACAAAATAATATCACCAAGACCCGTAGTTGCACCAGCAATCATGAGGAAATTTGAGAGACTCACTCGGAAAATCTCATGACCCCAAGCTCCGGTCCTAGATGTCCATAGCCCGCGGCTTTGGCAGTGGCCTGGGGAGTTTGGAATAAATTTGGAATCGAAACATGTTGAAACCATGGATCAGGCATATGAATTCTTGGTAATCAAACATGGCTAGAAAATCCCCCAGAAAGAGTTCGATTATTTTCCCAGCTATATCCCGTTGTCATGATTACCAAAGGGCATATCATATTATCACCTGCTTTCCGGAAACACAGTGCCTTTATCTTTGCAGTCTGACATTGTGAAAATGGAATTGCTGAGAAAAATGTTGAGAAACTCTATGGTTGAGCCATCTTACTGCAACAGTAAAACAACCCTAGCTCCACCGCAGCAAAATACTAAGTATACTAGAAGAGTCATCATAACATCCCCTCCTCGCCATCGCCCTTGTCATCCGCCTCCACGCCCGCAGCTTGCAATTTCACACGGGTCTCTTCGACCAACTCATACATCCTTTGCAACGGCAACGACACGTCGTACTTGTAGACCTGGCGTTCAGCGCCAAGTTCGGGACACGCTGGAGAAGTTGGGATGGAACCAAGCGGGGGATTTTTGGGGAGTATATACACTGCATTTTCTATCTATATGTTCAACTACAATAATAATAACAAAATCAACATGTAACTACTAAGTAAGATCAGGGAAAGTTTTTCTATGGGAACACAGCAGAGTCATTCCCATCCAAGTCTTTTGCCACGCTACATATCCTGCCGTGGTCATGGCATCACTGACACCCTCTCGAAGACGCCAAATAGCGCGTGCCTGGCATCGGAGTGGCATGGCCCACATGAGCTGCAAAACCCCGGCAATTCTTCGAGGATAGATACCCTATATACAATTCACTCAAAATGATCTTTATATCAGTGGGAAAAAGAGCTTTAGATTCCGACGCGCATTCAGGATTTGTATCATAGGTCACAACATTTGGAAAAAAACAACGTTGTACGATGTGTTTACAAACCTAGCCTTTAGGTCTAGGATGGAAAAGTGGTACCACCCTCATCGCCGAGACTCCTGAGTTTCATCTGCAGCAACAACGCCATCTTGGACGGCTGCATCATCATCTCCGGACATTGCAGCCTGCGATAGCATGTGCGCTTCCGGTTGAAACATCCCAAACAGGATTTTTTGTGGCCCTGCGCTTATTGGTCCATCCCTGGGTTGATGACTGAAATAACGAAGATGTTTCTGCACAACCTGGAAATCATTTCAAGTTTCAGGCAGCTTGGCGGCCCAGAAAATCCCACAAAATCCCACAATTTCTGAGGCCGAGCTTTACAGCCCCTGAAAACGCTCTACAGGACCTTTCTCCAACTTCTACCTGAGTATGTGGTGGTTTCGGATACAGTAACATAGGTGCGATGGTCAAAAAATTGGATTGATATGGATTGATGGTGTATGGTCAGGTCATCCATCCCAAAATGGAATCCAAACATAATGGCTGAAAATGGGTTGATGCCTCCATTTTGGTGTGAGGGTCAATAAAATACACCGTTGTACTAATCGATGTTCATCTATCATGGGCTTGGCCAATATCTCGATATACGGTATAAATATCAGAATATTCACCATTGGCCATACCCTAGTTACAAATGTCATCTCTCATGTGGTTGGAAAAGTCAATTCGTAGCTCCAAGTGGCCATTGGGTTTCCAAAAGTTCGACCGTTCGAGCCGCTTAGTGGTGCAGTTAAGATTGTAAGTGGCCAGTGCACCACACTTATAGGGGTTATATCTCAACTTATGGGGGTTAGTACCCTCTAGTATATAATATATATATATGGTACACTCACGGAAAACCATAAATACCCACTATCGACCCTTAATAACAATCAACAACCATTACTAACGAACCCATATTACCCATTGAACGACCCTTGCTAACCATCAACAACCATGATCAATAAACCCATATTACCCATTGAAAATCTCAACTGCAGCTCCAAGACCCCGAACCCCTGAAACCCAACGGCAGCCTCCAAAAATCGATGGAGTTTCTCCTGATCGTGTTCTCCATCGGAGCCAGAGGTCTCAACCAAGACCTTGGCGCATGGAGACACCTTATATCGCATGAATTATGAAACTAGACGACGGATGGCCCGAGAGCGTAGAGGAGCAGAGTCTTCTGTTGTTAGTATGGAAACACTATATTAGAAGACAATATATTAAAGATGTATAATAGGCAGAAGAGAAGAGTAGTATCAAGACAATATATCACAAACACAAGACAATAGTTTGCATCGTATCTTTCGTATAGTTTCTTCACACACAGACGCTTTTACACACACATGCATTTACACACAGACGCGTTTACACACAGCAGTTTTTACACCAAGAAGCTTGTACACAGACGTTTTTGCACACAGGGGCCTTTACACACAGACGCTTTTACACACACATGCATTTACACACAGACGTGTTTCAGCAGGTTTTTTTACACCAAGAAGCTTGTACACACAGAAGCTTCTACACACAGACGCTTTTACACACAGGCCCTTTTAAACAAAGAAGTTTTTACACACAGCAAGAAGCATAGAGAAGCTTTTACACGCAGACCTTTTTACACATAGAGACTTTTACACACACACACACAGAGAGGCTTTGACACACAGATGTTTTGACACACAGATGCTTTCACACACACACACACTCTCTTTCACACACAAAGGCTTTCACACCCAGCGGCTTTTACATACAAATATTTTTATACACAGACGCTTTGACACAGTCGCTTTGACACACAGGCACTTTTACACAACGGACACTTTTCCACACAAACACTTTTACACACAGACGCTTTTACACACAGGCAGTTTTACACACAGACCCTTTTACACACAGACACTTTTACACACAGACTCCTTCACACACAGAGGCTTTTACACACAGACGCTTTTAGACACAGACGCTTTTACACACAGAAGTTTTTACACACAGAAGCTTTTACACACAGACGCTTTTACACACAGACGCTTTTACACACAGACACTTTTACACACAGAGACTTTTACACACAGACGCCTTGACACACAGACGCTTTTACACAGAGACGCTTTTACACATAGACACTTTCACACAAAGAAGCTTTTACACACAGACGCTTTTACACACAGAAGCTTTTACACACAGACGCTTTTACACACAGACGCTTTTACACACAGAGACTTTTACACACAGAGACTTTTACACAGAGACGCTTTGACACACAAACGCTTTTAGACACAAACGCTTTTAGACACAGAGACTTTTACACGCAGACGCTTTTACACACAGACGCTTTTACACACAGAAGCTTAAACACACAGGCAGTTTTACACACAGACACTTTTCCACACAGACACTTTTACACACAGACGCTTTTACACACAGGCAGTTTTACACACAGACGATTTTACACACAGACGCTTTTACACACAGACTCCTTTACACACAGAAGCTTTTACACACAGACGCTTTTACACGCAGACCCTTTTACACACAGAGACTTTTACACGCAGACGCTTTTACACACAGACGCTTTTACACACAGCAGCTTTTACGCACAGAAGCTTTTACGCACAGAAGCTTTTACACACAGGCGCTTTTACAGACAGATGCTTTTACACACAGAAGCTTTTACATACTTCGCCGGACAACTTGGAAATCGCAATTTTACCTCAGTTTTTGGCGATCGAACCTCATGTCGTGCGAAAGGGTTGCACCCGGACGCCTTGAACTGGCAATTTTACCTCAGTTTTTGGCGATCGAACCTCATTTCGTGCGAAAAGATTGCGCGGGACAACTTGGAAATCGCAATTCCCCACCTGCCAGGTGAGGGTTGTTAGATTTTATGTCAGTTGCCTCCTCCTCCTTCTCCTCCTCCTCCTCCTTCTCCTCCTCCTCCTCCTCCGCCTCCTCCTGCCTCGTCCTCCTCTCCTCCTCCTCCTCGTCCTCCTTGTCGTCCTCGTCGTCCTCGTCGTCCTTGCTCAACTGCGACCCGCGATCCACAGTGTTCTCTGCCGGACCTCAACCACGACCACCCACGCCCAGTGTTCCCTGCCGGACCTCAACCACGACCATCCACGCCCAGTGTTCCCTGCCGGACCTCACCCACGACCATCCGCGCCCAGTGTTCCCTGCCGGACCTCAACCACGACCATCCGCGCCCAGTGTTCCCTGCCGGACCTCAACCGCGACCATCCGCGCCCAGTGTTCCCTGCCGGACCTCAACCGCGAGTATCCACGCCAAGTGTTCCCTGCCGGACCTCATGTAGGAAGATAAAATGTCAGATAGAGTGCCAGAAGATTTGCCAGGTAGAATGCCAGAAAATATGCCAGAAGATATGCCAGATAGATATGCCAGATAGAATGCCAGATAGAATGACAGATAGAATGCCAGATAGAATGCCAGAAGATATGTCAGATAGAATGCCAGAAGATATGCCAGATAGAATGCCAGAAGCTTTGCCAGATAGAATGCCAGAAGATATGCCAGATAGAATGCCAAATAGAATGTCAGAAGATATGTCAGATAGAATGCCAGAAGATATGCCAGATAGAATGCCAGAAGATTTGCCAGATAGAATGCCAGAAGAAATGCCAGAAGATATGCCAGATAGAATGCCAAATAGAATGTCAGAAGATATGTCAGATAGAATGCCAGAAGATATGCCAGAAGATATGCCAGATAGAATGCCAAATAGAATGTCAGAAGATATGTCAGATAGAATGCCAGAAGATATGCCAGATAGAATGCCAGAAGATTTGCCAGATAGAATGCCAGAAAATATGCCAGAAGATATGCCAGATAGATATGCCAGAAGATATTCCAGAAGATATGCCAGATAGAATGCCAGATAGAATGCCAGATAGAATGCCAGAAGATATGTCAGAATATATGCCAGAAGATATGCCAGATAGAATGCCAGAAGATGTGCCAGTAAGAACATGTATAAATGTCATGGTGGGGATCACACGAAGTAAAGTAATTTTACTTCAGTTTTTGGCGATCGAACCTCATTTCGTGCGAAAGGGTTGTGCCCGGACGCCTTGAACTGGCAATTTTACCGCAGTTTTTGGCGATCGAACCTCATTTCGTGCGAAAGGGTTGCGCGGGACACCTTGGAAATCGCAATTTTACCTCGGTTTTTGGCGATCGAACCTCATTTCGTGCGAAAGGGTTGCGTTTCGTGCCGTCTCGTTGGCACTGCCCCGCGCCTTCAAGAGAGAAATAGAAAAGAAGGGGAGAGCAAGAGGGCAAGAGAGCAAGAGGGCAAGAGAGCAAGAGGGCAAGAGAGCAAGAGGGCAAGAGTGAATGTGAAGTTGTGAAGATGAGAAGATGTGAAGATGTGAAGATGAGCAGATGTGAAGATGAGAAGATGTGAAGATGAGCAGATGTGAAGATGAGAAGATGTGAAGATGTGAGGATGTGAGGATGAGAAGATATGAAGATGAGAAGATGTGAAGATGAGAAGCTGTGAGGATGAGAAGATGTGAAGATGTGAGGATGTGAAGATGAGCAGATGTGAGGATGAGAAGATGTGAAGATGTGAGGATGTGAAGATGAGCAGATGTGAAGATGAGAAGATGTGAAGATGTGAGAATGTGAAGATGAGAAGATGTGAAGATGTGAGGATGTGAAGATGTGAGGATGTGAGGATGAAAAGATGTGAAGGTGAGAAGATATGAGGATGAGAAGATGTGAAGATGAGAAGATGTGAAGATGAGAAGATGTTAGACAGACCCCCACTATTGGAAGAACCCTGCGCTCAGACGCTCTCGGGAAAACACAACTCATATGAAA